GATTAGGATATTACTATATAACTTTGCATATAAAGGACTTTCCACCTCCTTACCCATATAGGCTGCATCCCCACAAGTGTGAATGTTTGGTTTCCCAGGGACAACTAGCAATGGGACACCTTGTGCTGCAGGATGTGGAGCCGGGCACTTTATTTAGGGAGCTGTGCTAATTAAAATGTGCTCGCATGTCACGTGTATCTGTGTCCGTGTGTCCCTGCAATGAAAAAATAGCGGCAGGGAACTCTGAACTGAATCTCATTGGACATGTTTTATTTTAAAGCACCCCACCACCATTTTTTTAGCACAGAGATATACTGTGCCAATGAGACACATGGCATGGAAGGCTGCCAGAGCACATCAATTTCCGTGCTTCAGTACATTCAGTTAATTGAATCTGCTCTGATGCACTGGATTTCAGGCTCAGCACACGTGTATAGGAGCCCTGAGGATCTCACATGCTAATGAAAGTATTGCTGCACTTTGGTGGCTTAACTTGTTAGTCCCCTTTGAACATTCATCAGTCGTGTTTTAAAACCACACACAGACTACTGGCAGGAACTCCCATTATCTGATGTTCTTCCTGGTTATCAAGGACTGTCTAGAGACTCTGGACTGCATTAGGTGATTTCCAGAGATGTGGTGTGTGATGTATATGTTTAAAAACTTGAAAGTTTGAAGCCTGATCCAAACCAATTTCATCATCAGTGAAGGAGGCTAGACAAACACCTTGCTGGGGTCATTTGACCCCCAGTACTTTTTCCTGCCATGGCAGAAGGTCGGACTTGATGATCTGCTCAGGTCCCTTCCGACCCTACCAACTATGAAACTATAAGGCTCTGCCACCAGTTTTGCTGACCTTTGGATCAGGATAGCAAATCTTATGGACCTTTGCTTTGGTTTGGTGCAAACGTGGTAAATACAGGTTGTGTTTTTAGAAGCTTGGCAGGTTCCGTTAGGGGAAGCCTAGCCAGAGAAGATAAGGGATGTTGCAATAAAATTTCTAATGACTTTTACAGGAACTTCCTGTCTTCAATTCCGAATATATTTTTGAAGTATGCCCTAATTTACAGAGGTATCGCTGAATTAATTTCACAGCACTCTAGTATTTGGGACAATTTCAAATTTGAACTTTTAGCCTTTTGTATTTACCAATTTCCCATGATTGCTAATTTTATTCTCAAATGTGAACAAGCTGGACCAGTCCTTTTACAGTTAATCCCAGATGCACATATTTTTTAAATTTTGGGGTCTGTTCTCTCACACTGTTATGAGCACATGACCAAAAAGGAACAGATGCCTCAGTGATATTACTCTGATTCACATTCCAACTGAGAGGGTGAATTAATTAATGTTTGTAAAGCCCTTTGATATTAGGCTGTGTGATATTTGATGTGCAAAACATACATAAATATTATTATTTTGATACTTTCACCTGATAATGAGTGAGCCTTTTTGCCAGCCTACCAGCTGTGTCACTTAAATTCAAATTTAGATAAAGACAGATTATGACTGATCATGTTAAAATTGTCATGGTACCTACAGATTCAAAGAAGGCTATAGCATAATGGTTCAGATCAGCTTGCAGGTCTATGGCAGGTTTCAATCAGGCAATGAATGTCATTGGTGACTAGACAATGGGATAACTCATGATGCTACATGCCAACTTGTGAAGGTTTGTAATATCAGGCCCTTAGTGACAACCATAGAAATAAAAAGGAAGAGAAAAGTTTACTTGGTTTTGCAGTAGGCCACCACACACATGATGCCAACCACAAGGAGGGCAATACAGATGCCAGTTATGGTCAACACCCTTTTCTGGTACAGTTCCTCAGCTTCTAGAAAGGGACAAAAACAGAGAAGATTACAAGATGCAGACTGACTGTTGAAGCAGTGGCAGATGAACAGCTGACATGCTACATACTGCAAGATCACACAGTGACACAAAAAACACAACCACCAAAAATCATTATAGGCTTCAAAGGGAACTAAGTAAGACTGTAAGCTCTTAAAACAATATTGATGCCTGTGGGTGCTGATAAGAAGTAGTAAAATAATAAAAAAGATACTTCTATTTTTAACTAGAATGATATTAAATGTATATTTTTAAAACTCAGAAACTATCAGCATTTACTTAAAATAAAAATGCAATACACTAAGGTAATAATATGATTTTGAAACTGCTTGGGATGTTTTACTCCTGCAAAGACAGCTGGAATGACCATCCCTTATCAGTCCTGGAAATTTTTTTTAGCTTGTATCTTTTTTCCTCCTGTTCTTGCCTTCCCCCTCCTCCCCCCCATGCAATTTTGCTCTTCTTTCCTCCCACAAAATATCTATTTATATCTCAGTGGTCTTTACAGGAGAAATTTCAGAATGTCCTTTTATATTTGTAGCATGAGCTTGGCTTGTAATTACATCACTGATGGAAATGAGACAGGCTCAGCAGTTTGGTTAAAAAAAATAAATTGTTAAGCCTCACTTTCCCCCAACACTAAAAAATATGATGGTACCAGAGATGAGCGATGCATTGTATCAGAGAAATATTGTACATTTAAGCTGCCTATCATAATTTATAGTAAAGGAATTGCCATTGCTGGAGTGTCACCTTTTCCTCTGACAAAACATTGATCTCTTATCCAGAGATATTTTACTGTTATGAAGAAATCATTAGCACCCGTAATGTTTGGGCTGAAGCACACCCCACATTCCAGAGTTGGTCACACTTGGCAAAAACCACATTGCATGTTATCCTAGGGAAATGTTATGCTTAGAGCGCTGGACTGGAGATGCCAACTGTGTACTGACAAAGAGGGAAGCTTTGTGGATCCAAACTATGTTCCTCTCTTTGGGATCAATATGGTCATCAGGGGTTGCATTTTTTTTTGTACGGCCACATTAGCGAGCTCTGAAGCAAGCAAGCACAGAGGGCCCAATGGTGAGTTGACTCTGCTCCTTTACTATTAGCTTGACCTTAGGGTTTCCTTATACAGGCTTGTGATAATACTCTATGAATATCTCCTTAAACTGTGGGAACTCAGTTCTTCTGTCTTCTAAGTCAGCCAAAGTTAATGGAGCTGCAAGGCAAGAAAGGAAGTGAAGAACTGCTTTCACCATACTTTGTCACAGCTAATGGTTTCTTGAAACTTTTTTTAAATGTTTGTTGAATTTTTTTTTCCCAGGGTCACCTGGTCTAGTGTTACGTAGCTGGTGGCATGGGGCTTTTGAAAAGGAAGTTGTGTTTGTGTGACAGGACTTAGAATCATCTTGCATACTGTGGTATCTAAGTTGGCAGGAGACACTGAGCACGTCTACATGTTCATTAATGCGCTTTTGCTAATATGCATTAAATTTAGTACCTCCATTGTGAGGTACTAGAAAAAGGCGCATTAGTCTATTTTAATGTGCATTAGCAAAAGTGCATTAATGAATGTGTAGACACACTCGATGTGGTTCCCAGTTTGTCATGTCATGAAAGAGTCAATATTGGTCATGAGGCTGCTCTTTCAAGTAACAAGGTAGCTGCTGATATACCTTCATGCTCCCAACGTGAGGAAGGTCTTGTTGGGAGAACAGGGACTGCAAGCACTTTGGTTGATGTTTATGTAATATTTTCTGAAATATTAGCTAATTTAAGAAACACTTTTCAATAACAAACCTTTACTTAAGGATGCACTGCTCATTGGAGAATGAACATTACCATGGTCTACAAGGAAGTCACACAGGTATTATTTGTTCTTTCAGACCTCCATATCATATAGCAACTAGCCATGCAAGGTCACCATGGAATGCAAGTTTCATTATGAATGGAAATTTTCCTGTGGCAGACAAGGCATATTAATTTCCAAGATACAATGCACCTCATCACAAAAAAAAAATCTTCCTACAAGCCAACCTCAATGAAAATCAACACACCAGTTAAGAGGTCATGAACACTGTCAGACAAAATTAATAGCACTGATTATTAAGGAGGGAAAGAAGAAGTCAGTTTGGTAAAACTATAATGCCGAACAATTTATTAAACAATTCAAAATCCAGGAATGGAAAGTCAAAAGGCAAAATAAAAAAACAGAACCAACACATAAGACAGAGAGAGGATGACAGGGAAAGACAAGGTTAAAGGTTGAGGAGTCAACTGCAGGCCTGGCACAGCATGCTTGATACTGGAAAAAATAGAGTGAAGAAATGCTTGAAATAAAGGTTGAAGCAGAGTCTGAAGGGTTTTCTCATACAGCATAACTCCTGACTTTGCCTAAGGAGCAGCTTCTTTTGATAGCACTTAGTCAGGCAAATGGTATATTATGATGTCACAAAGCACTAAGAGACTAGAGAATTGTGTTAACTGATTCAAGTGAATCTCAAATGATTTGTATGGTAATTTTGTTGTCATGCTATCAGCTACTATCTTGTGAATGTGAAAAAAAAGGTGTGTGGGGGGAAGAGCTAAATAAATATGGAGCAATATTCTTCTCGGTTCTGTCGGTGCACATCTTATTAATTTTCCAGGCATCAGTGGAATCACTTCGGTTTGCCACTGTTGTGACTAAGACCAGATTGTGGCCTGTGGTCTTTTTTTGCCAATGTAATTAGGGAGACCTAGGTTTACATGGGCATCTGACTGTCCTATCTGTATCCTATGGCACCTGTCATGTGCTATGCATATATATGTACGCATTTATGATCTTTATTGGATTATCGTTCTTTATGGGACAAGTCTGAATGGTGTAAGGGACCTTCATGCAAAGGCCCTAATTTTGGGGATAGCTGAAGGTTCTATGTGGGACGACAGTCCCTGTCTGTGCCCTGCTACCTGGAGGTACCTATGTATGAACAGGGAGAGCTCCTATAAATTATGCTCCTAGGCCACAGTTCTGAGGGGACTAACTGTCTCCAGCTGCCCTGAGATCCACCCAGTTAGAAATGAAGGTTTTATTTTTCCCCATTGATCTATGTTTTTTGAGGGGTTTTCAGGTTGCACTCTTGCTTCTTCTGTAAGCCCACATTCTTCTGAAGGAAGCAAATGGGGCAAATGAAATAAACTTCATGGAGTTTTTAACGGTATTTTTCTCCCTCCTGCCAGATGGGAACAAGTGAGCTTAAGCAGAAACATGGCTGTGCCAGCTTTTGCCTATGCTACACAAATCTCACAGCCACAGACATCTGTCCAAGGCACAGTTATTGCATCTGGTGTCTGTGCTCACCTCCACAAGAATGGTTTGCAATGGGCTGGAGAGAGAGTACTGACAGGGGGCCAGGGCTTTACTGATTTAGAGAATCCCCATAAAAAATGTCAAGCACCATTTCTATCCAAAACGTCAAGACAGGACAACTGTGCAAATGTCTTCTCATCTTTCTCTGGATGGAAGAACTCTCTGACCACAATGGTTTCTCCTGGCTCAGGGCACTTTGATTTGTGGCTCCTGGAGTAGCTCATGGTATACCTACTGGCAGGAGTGTGTCCTGTGTAAAGTTTTATGGGTTCTAGTCCCTGAACCAGGCCATGTTAAGCTCTTCCACACTAGCTTTACAAGAACGTGCATTTCATACTCCAGGCTTTGCATTATACAATCCAAGTGATCTGCCTAAGCTTCTTCTCCCCAGATAATTTAGAAGTGTATGACATGAAAGGCAGGTAAATGATATTTTGCAGAAAGGAGGAGGAGTGGGCCTAGTCCTTCCTATCCATTCAGGGCACAAAGGACCACAGAGTATGGTCCCCACATCTGAACAGAGATTTGGGGGGAGGGGTGTTGGGCTCCAGGCCTTCCTCTCTATTATCAGCCTATCTGAGTAGGAATTAAGCATATTCTTAGCTACTAATATCCCCCAAGTTTTTTGGAATCAATAAATGTCACACGATGGGCCATAGAAAAGCTGTTGGTCAGCAGGTCTTGCTCTTGATCAAACAGCATTACAGAAGATTTACAAGCTGCAGGCTGGATCTTCAGCTGGTATTAAAGTGGCATCGCTGTTGATTTATAATAGGTGAGGATCTGACGTTCCATCTCCAAACTGGGAATTTCAGAAGTTTAGAAGGGAGTTTATTTGCATTTACTATTAGTCAACTGGACCCAATTTGCAAAATTGATTATCTGATGTCAAGGACATAAGTCTTTGCTTAAGTACCCATTCCAGGCAATTAAGTTCTGATTATAGATTTAGATACTTGACTTTGGAAATTGGGCTCAATGCCATGAATTTTGTCCTAGAAATTAAATGACTGTGCAATCCTGTCATAGTTTTGTTTCCAAAATTCAGCAATACCAAAAAATCATGGAAATGTGACCAATTGTTAAGGCTGTCTAGGAGTAAAATGAATTTACAGTATTGTGGCGACGTCTAATTCTTAGATGTCTGATACTCAAAGTATCCTGTGCATATTAATGTTCTAGTGAGGTATTCACAGATAGACTGTTAATCAAGGTGCATGTTATAGCTGTATGATCCCTTCTAAAGCATAGAGAAATTAGTTAGGAATTGAGGGGAAGGATGGGAAAAAAGGTTTTATCTCTCAGGCTCTAAAATCTGCAGGCTAAAAGGAATGATTGGTCCATACCCATAAATTCAATCCCAAGATGCTCTGCCAATGCAGAAAGTTGACAAAAAAGAAAGAAAAGGGAAAAAGTTTCAGAAAAGAGCAATACACCATACTCAAAAACAAATTACACATGAATATTATGGCTATTCTGTGTCTGCACACTGAAACAAGACAAGTGGCGTGTGGTTAATGGGGCAGTGCTCAGGTATGCTTCTGTAACTTTCATTGTGAAAAGGGTAATACACCATAATAGGTTCACAGAATCCCAACTGGCACAATGCAGTGGAACGTGGCAACGATGGTTAACCCTTAAAGATTTTACTGAGGTATACAAGGGGGCTGTAATTCTAGGGTACAACCTGAAGCAGTTGAACGTCTGACAGTGACAGCATGCAACTGCCTTATGCTGAACTGAATTATACCACCCAGGGAAGGCATTTTGTAGGAGGTCTCCACCCAGTCACTGAAGATGAAGACCTCATTATGCTGGTGGAATACCTTGCCATTCCTGATATCCAATTCATTTCTTCTTGTTATCACTAGTTTGAAGGGAGCTGATCCTCAGCAGAGTGGGGCTGTCAGTTTTTGATGTGGTTTAAATCAGCCAGCTCCACTGAATGTGCAGGGGGGTGGGGGACTACACCCATGTACTCTAGCTGAGGATATGACCCACTGTCAGGCATGCAGTCCTTGAAAATCCTGCCTAGGGGAACTGATATGCCTCCAGGGAGCTGGGAGCAATATTAGCCCAATAAGTACAACTAGTTAAATTATTTCATGGCTGGCCTCATGGAGGAATGTAGGCTTTGTGTTTTGTAAAACCCAGGGGGGCTGGAAAACGTTTTGTGTTCAAGTGAACCCACTTCCCTTTGCAGAATTAAAAACCCTAGGTAAAACCGAACTACACTGAAGTCAATAGCAAAACTCTGATTAATGTTAATGGGGCTATAGTTATAGGTGGTTTGGCTAACTGAGTTACATGGAAAGTTATACTCCATTCACAGAGAACTCTTTCCGTTGGGATACCAGATTAGCTCTCACTTTCTCAGCTCTTGTTCCCATGGACTTTGGAAGCCAATCTAAGGAAGCAGGTACTCAATGAGCATATACAAATCAGTGAAGATGGAGAGCCCAATAAGTTTCCTGCCAATCGGTAAAATTTTAAGGGTTAAATCCATCAGAATCCATCCACATTTTGACCTAAAGAGCCAGTTTTAAATGCCTACATGAACACTGCTAACAATATACATTAGTTGCATAGAAAGCTTGGTTAAATTTTCAATAAAATTAGTGACATGCACATGCATATATATTACTGCATTTCGGTTGTTTTAGAGGTGAGACTGGTAGCCTGCCTGTAATTCAGTTTCAAGGGAAATCATTCATATCATGCAGCCCCTATTTCAAATAATTCAATGGGAAATTGGTACTTAAAATGGGAATATATTCTGGCTGAAAGCCCTAGGACGAAAACATGCTGAGAAAACATGCACCACTCATTCTGACCATAGACTGAATATAGCTCTTATTTATTTTTGCTATTTACAGCTACTTTCTCTTGCCCTGATTAAGAGAAAGCAAAATACCCCAACAATTTTCATTTTACAAAGAGTTAGGTACCACTCTTCCTAGTCAAACTAACGTCTTACACTCATTATATATGAAAAGGTTTCAATCAAACCTCTGTCCAGGGGTTTTAAAAAGAATTACAAAGTTTGCTTTAAGTCATTCCATTTTCATTCTAGATACGATTTTGTGCTTGACAAAATTGAAAAACGAAACAAAACAAAAATGCTTTAAGGCATAAATGGTCAAAAAATGACTTAGGAAGCCAGAGGGTCAAAATGCTGGTGAAAGAGTTTTTTGAAAATACTGGTTTATAGAACCTGAACTGGTGCCGTAAAAATGTCTCAGGTTTGTTGCATTTTGGGAGATTTGAAAGCAGGCTTCTCATGAATTCTCCTGGATTCTGTCTGAAATCATGGCAGGATGGATTCAAGGCTGGGGCCACAGCTGTGGGGCAACCTGACATGTCAGCTTAACTGGGGCTATAAGGGCTTCCAGGCTTCTGACTAAGGACCTAGGGCTTGGAACTTGCAAGTCCTAGAACTTGTCCCAGTCCATGGCAGCACCACCATTTGAATCACCCAGGATATTACAGTGGGGTTCATAGCCCCAGGCAACTTGGAAATGCCCCCAAGCCATGAACCATGGTAGCACCATGGTGTCTGGCCCCAACATTAACCCAGAGTCTGAGGATCTCAGTGCTTACAGAGTTCTTGGCTCAGGGGCAGCCACACCAAGACTTGTACACTTGCTGCTATGGAGCTGGGAGTCCAAAAGCCCCGAGAACCCTGGCTCTAGCAGGGAGTCTGGAAGCCCTAGTTACAGATCGGGCATTTAGAGTCTGAGGCCGCATCATATTTGGAACTTCCAGGCTGTCAGACTCCTTGTGGATAGCCTAGGGAAGCTAGTGGCCTGGGAAATGCATGGCTTCCAAGGGCACTCTGTATGGCAGGAGAAGTTTTAAGCCTCAGACATTGGGAACCTGAACAGCCAATGTAAGGGTGGGCAAAATGGCCCATCCATCCAGCAGCCGGACTCCATTTCCCAGCAGCCCCTGCCCGCAGGGCTGAGGCCAGTCTTCATGTGTGGCACAGCAGGGCAGGGGGATGCTCCAGAGCTGCTGGGATCTTGTGATGGGGGCAGCTTGCTCTGGAGCCAGGGCAGAGCTGTGATCTGTAGCTGGCATGCTTCGGGGAAGGGCACATAGGCAGGGGAGTACAGCTCTGCCCCTGCTCCAGATCAGGCTGTCACCGCTGCAAGGAGCCAGGGCAGAGCTGTGATCCCTTGCCTGCATGTCCCTGCCCAGAGCGTGCAGGCTACAGATCATGGCTCTACCCTGACTCCAGAGCAAGCTGCCCCATCGCAAGATCCCAGCAGCTCTGGAGCAGCCCCCTGCCCTGCCCTGCTACGCGCCCTGCCAGCACGGCTGGGGCTGGTCTCCGTGGCAACCCCAGCCTTGCACTATCACAGCGCAGGTGTGTCTGGGGTCTCCACGGAGACCGGTCCGAGCAATGCGCAGGGGCAGCTGGGAAATGGAGTCCACTGCTGACTGGATCTTTGCCCTTCCCTGAGCTAATGAATGAAACTGATAAGAATATCAGATTCATTCGGCAACCGTGGAATCTCAGAAGCAGATTTGGTTTCAGAGTCACCATGCTTTTTATGTTTTGGAAACCTTTTTTCCCCTTAACTTCTGGTTCAGGAGAAATGTTGATAAGTTTGGCTCTGCTCAAGCAGCACTTAAAAAAATAACTATATGTTTAAACAAACTGGAAATCCTGCATTTTGGCCAGCTTAACAGAGATAGTTATGATTGCTATTCAGAAATGAGTTAGGCACTAAGGGCCCTTTTATACATGCTCCAAAAGCTGCTCTAATTAAAGCGCTGCAGCGTCTTGTCTATCAGCATCCCCATGATTCAAAATGGCAGCAGGGGCACTTGAACTACAGATCATTGAACAAGCTTTAGTTCAAGAACCCCTGCTGCCATTTTGAAGCATGGGGATGCTGATACATGAGATGCAGAAGCCTGCTGGAGCATGATAACTTCTATGCTTCTGCAGACTGGATTAACTGAGTCTGCTCCAACATGATGTAATTACAGAGCATCAGAGCAGGCTCTGTGCTCATGTACAGACACCCTAACAGCCTAGATCCAACTGAAATTCAGTGGGCACGTCTACACATGTGCTTTAATGTACAGTAGCCTATCCTATTGTGCATTAAAGTGGCAGGTAAATTTGTTAATACACTAACATACAGTAGAATAGGCTACTGCTCATTAAGCATCACTAAAAAAGCATATGCTTGCACTCCTGCATGTTAGCACAGCCTAATGTGCATTTATTTAGTACCGCATGTTGGAGGTACTAAATTTAATGTGCATTAGTAAAAGTGCATTAATGCACATGTACACACCCAGTGAGACAAACTCCTAAAATGCTCTTTTCATGAACACAGGCTCTTACATCTCTTGAAAAATTTTACTCTGTCTCTAATTAAAATTTGACTAAAATTAAAGATTCATTTTATCCTCTTATATAAATATCAGAGCCAATTAACTTCCAAAGAATTGATGGAGCAATTTATATCTAAAAAAGTGGCCTCTTCTTTTAATGTCAAATCTGATATTAAGGCTAGGGGCGGACATTCAAAAAGCCTAAGCCTGAACTGATTCAATCTTTGCAGGTTAGTCGAACCTGGCTAGGCTAAATCAGTTTGTAACTGTACAGACATCCCAAACATGCAGGTACATGCCTGCAGTGACTCAGGCTAGAAGTTGGGCGGGGGGTGGGCACTAGAGCAGCTCTCCTTTCCCTTGCATAGTCCTGAGCTGAGGAGGTGCATGGCCAGGCCCTGGCAGGATGCTTTCATTGCGGAGGAGTTCCCCCCTCCCCCTCCTGACCAGCCCAGCAGGGAATTGATAATACAGTGTTTATCACCCCAGTTAAGAAAAAAAGAGGGACATTACCAGCTACATGTTGATTCTGCCTCTGTCCTGTCTGCCACAGCACGACTGTAGCCAGCAGGTGGTCTGCTAGCTAATACACAGACACCTCTCAGCAAGGCAGAGGGGAGGGGGGAAATTCCTGCTTAGCAGTGAGTGGTAAGAGGGAGAGGGGAAGCAGCCTGCAGTCTCTGCCAAGCTGCAGCCAGGGAGCAGAGAGTAGGGGCCAGCTCTGCTGTGGAGCAGAGAGAGTCACACAGTCCAGAGACCATGCTGGGATGCTGGGGGAATCTGGTTTAACTTAAACCAGCAAGGGATCTGGGACAGACATTGCATAAACCAGTTTGATCCAAATCAGTTAAGTCTGATACTACATTCAACCAGGTTTATCTCAAACTGGTTTCAGCCATTTTTAGACTGGTTTATATGCACTGAACATCTGTTCTGTTACAGCTTTAAACCAGTTTCTGATCATTTAAATTAGTTTATGTGTAATGCCTGTCCCTAGCCCGTAAGTTCTGTTGGAAGTCAGTGGGACTTAGGGTACATCTACATGGCGCAGGGCAGTGAAGTGTTGAGCTACCTCAGGTACCAGAAGTAGTACAGCCATGTTAACCTAGTGCGCTGCCTGGTTTATCCTGCTGAGAAGGGGTAAATTAATAGGATAAATTAGCCCCATTGCAGTTCTGTGCTAGGTTTGGTATCTCTATAGTGAATTGTACTGCACTGTATAAACAAATCCTAAAACTCTTAAGTGTTTCAGAGGCATTTGAAGTTCTAGGTAAAATTTTCAAATACCTCTGTAGCCAGATAACTATTTTGGAAAGCTGCATTATACGAGAACACTGTACATTTTGAAACATAAAGCAGAGCATATGTAGAAAATGAAAAAAATGGGAGTAATGGTTGTGTTGCATCACAAAAGTATGTCAAAGGCATACTCAAAACTTGCCCAGCATCATCTGTAATTTCTGGGTCACATCAATCTCATAATGTTTCTATAACAGATTAATCAACTGTGGCACAGTTGAAATTAATTGAAATTTCTGAGCTGGTCCTCTAAAGTATTTGCCTTTAGGAATAAAAGTTTGTTTTGCTTACTTCATGCATTTTGCCAATGTAATGCATTTTATATGAATGAGCACAGTAATGTGTGGAAACACAAGAAGTTTACATACTGGTCCAGTTGGACCATATAAACTATTGTGAGGCTCACACTTAACCTGGCACCTAAGCATGGGGTTCTCAATTTACTGGAACCAGGTTGATGGGATAATAGGTTTACTAGTGATAAACCTTTAGAGCTACCTGATGCTACCATTCTGCTCTATGTTGCTCCATAAGCTCTGAGCATGTAACTTAAATTCCTAGAAAAATGTGTGGTTTAGTTTTGCCCACAATGCTCTTCTTTCCCCTACCTCCGCAAAAGTCCACTCCTACTCATTTGGTGTGATAAATCAGTCTGAGATGCAAGAGTGGACTCAGTCTTGGACTTGATTGGTACGGTCTCAGTTACACTAGTATTTGCTTGACCTAGAATTGCAACGGCTTCTTTGCATTTTCATGATTGTGCATCCTAAACTAAATTATGCACCTTATTCCCTCCTACCCATTGTGGTAGAATACACTGGCTAGGGGGAACAATCCTGAAGTTAAATACTGCAGTACAGGAAAATTGCCAACTTCCATTGTGAAGCCTTTTGATGGTATACACCATTATTTACCCTCTGCACAAAACTGGATGTAAATGGACTCTCAACCTGAGGGAGGTAAAATGCATCTACAAGCTTCTTCTCCCTCTCCTTTCATATGCCCCTTAAAGGCAGGGAAATCTGTTTGTATGGGAGTAATTTCCTTAATAAAGGAGACTAGTGTGAAATTGATCCATCATATTTCACCAGCTTTTCAGTCTTACAATGATTGAAATATTTTTGCATTGCACTATGGGTGCAATGAAGTACTCCTTAAATAGACAAACTTCCTACTACAGTGAACTGCAGTGAGATTTGCAAAAATGATCAGCATTAGCCTAACTCTGCTCCTACTGAAGTCAATTAAAAAACTCCCCTTATCTTCATCGCTTTTAAATATCTCATCCATAGAGTTGAATTTTTAAACATAAATTTTAAGCCGAATCTTTAGGATATGAATAGGTAATCCACAGCTATTCCTTGCAGGGAGCCATAATGACCTACCAGTTCTCAAATAAAAAATTCTCCCTGAAATCAAGAAGGAGTTCTGTCTAAAATCAGATGGCATTATATAGCTCATGTTTATTTTCTTATTGTCATCTGCTTTAACATTTGGTTTGCTATATAATTAGCATAAGCTTCCCTAGCTAAACCAAACTAAGTTCATTCCTCTATTTACTCAGTGCAAAATATGCTCTTGTCTTTCAGCCTCAGATACAATCTTTGCTGGATCAGAACAATCAGTCTGATTATTTTTTAATTGTATAACCTGATCTATACTTAGTTTGGAAAAAAAGTCATATAAGTGCTTCTATATTGATTTTTCTCGTTAAATATAAATGTACTTTCACTGGATACCGTCCAAAAGTGTCATTTTAAGATTTGTAGTAACTTAAGAAACATCACTCTGTGCTTCAGATATATTGTATATAGAAGGTGCTAGAATAAAATAAGCAGAGCCTGGGATTTTCAAAGTAGCCTGAGGTAGTCATGTGAAGTACTCTCACTGAATTTCAATGAGATCTGAGGCTGGGTTTTTCAGGAATCCCCAGTGCCAGTTTGAGTGAAAAACAATGGGATTTACTTGCCCTTCTCACTTAGGCTATAGACAGATGTAACTTTTAAGTGATTCAAAATGGGCATGGGAGTTCATGCTCAGAAGCCCCATAAACTGTTACATCTGCATGCTCCTGTACCACAGAAGTGAGCTAATTCATTGCAAATTTAACTCTGAAGGAAGAAAGGGTTAAAGTTGCAATGGTTTTATTAGATTTACATGGCTACAGGAACAGGCAGATTTAACAGCTACTTCATAACACTGGGCGTATCTACATGTGCTGTTAATGCAACTGAGACAGGGTAAACTAATCCTGATGTCACCGTCTAATAACGTGCATTTAAGCGCGGTGCTGCCAGATACCTCTCGTATCTGGTGGGAATACCTGGCAGTGGAGTAAATTAGTCTGTTGCACCCTAATTGCCACGGACATGTCGATAGTGATGCTTTACTGCGCAACAAATTAGTCTGCTTTGCAGTAAAGCATCTTGTGTAGACACACCCACCTTGTAACAGGATAATTTGATAGTGATACAATTGTTATAACTCTTTATAGCTGTAGATGCTTGTAGCAATCCTAGCCTGATCACCTAGCGCACAAAGACTCCTGTAAAAATCCCTGTGTATTTTATATTAGAAAATTTAAAAACTAAAGAGAAAAAAATGTTTTTTTTCTGGGTACAAAAAAACCCAACCCTCCTAAAACCCCTGAGGTTATAATTCAAGTCTGGGGCTCTAGTTTCATGGTCTTACAGTATGAAATAATTTGGGGAACAGACAATACTTCATTTCATTACCATTGCTCTTTTAACACTGTGAAAAAGCATAAAACATGTATTTTTCATAAAGAGAAAAGGTCATTAAAAATCTAATACTTAGGAAATAAAAGCACATTAGCAAGGAAAGTTATTTTAGTCTTTTGGTCTATACTTATCAGAGGTGTTTTAAAAATACACACTAATAAACATTTTAAAAATTGGGAGAACATAAACACTTGAATGATGGGAGGCCTAATCTCCTACTAGAGCATTTGGGATTCAGGAGAACTCTCAAGATGGACAATATGAATTATGTATGTATATTCTTCATTCATTGATGTCAGAGAAGACCTACGCATCTACTTGGGCTCCAAAATGTCCAGTGCATGCTAACAGCTTTTTATCCCATGTACTAATGGAAATTAAATTGAGCTAGCTTCCATGCTCCAAAATCTTTCAGGGTGGGGGAGCAAGCTATCAAAAAAAAAGTTCATATAGAACTGCTCTTAGCTCAGTGCACAGGGATACCAGCAACAATTAATTATGAATTAGTGTATGATCATTAAAAATGTAAAAAGTATGCAATTTCCTTATATTTTCTGTTTGGCTTTACTATAGCTAAGGCTACAAAATAAATAGTCAACATATTTTTCACCTTCTCACTGATAATTAATGATAAGGAACCATCCCTTCCAAAGGAAAGTTTACAGGACTATACATCTGACTGTGACCCCCATTTTGCCGGCAGATCCACATTGGCAGACTCCTCTGAGCATGCACTGGTGTGAGTATATGTGCATGCAAGAGCACACACAGGCCTGCAAAAGAGCTTATGTGGTGCCTTTCTTTTGCACTTTAATCTGATTCTGACATACGTGATCTTTTGCACCTGTCCCCCAACAAATAAAAAACATCAACCACCATCATATAAACTCCCCTCCTCCTCTTTCCCCTTGCAATTTTTCTATTGAAATTTAAAATGTAAACAATAAAGAAAAAAAATCACTTTGATCCCGTTTGAATGCACTCTTTTGATGCACCTTGGCCTCATCTACATGAGATGCTGACTGCACAGTTGTTACATGTATAAACAAGCACTAAATGATTGCACAGTAACCTGAGTTACTGCACAGTAGAACTGATGAGTGGCCTTTCTGTGATACTACCGTGCAGTAACCCCAAGACTACTGAACAGCAGTGTTGTGTCATGGGTTCTGGCATATAACACTACTGCGCAGTAGTCTCAGGCTCTTGTGCAGTCAGCATCTCATGAGCATTTAAAAATTATCTTTACTTTCTAGTTCCAAATGCAAGTTATGTTTCTTTGGAACCACTAGTTCCTTATCAACTTATGTTTATTTGGTAGGTTACTATCTTTTTACAAAGACTTGTGCTATTTTAGTGCAGGAAGTTCACTCTTTTGGCAGACAAAATGCGAGACTTTGAAATATGTTTTTGTACTTCTGCTGCCTGATATCAGCCATATCACATCCTTTGACATTAAGTTCACAATGCTCCTGTGTCTCCACATGCCCATAACCTCCATGCCAAACAACCCAATAAAGTATTGCAATTGCTTTTGTTATTATCATTTTCATGCAACAGGCAGAGGCAATCAATATTAAGCCTAAGGCAATAAATCTAGTTACAGATATATAAATAAAAAAAAAAATCAGAGGAAAGATGCAGCGACAAGAAAGCAGCACCAACTGAGCATGCTCCTACTGAGGCACAGACAGAAAGGAAGTGGACGTACTGTAGAAGCTGGCCATTACGTAGTTTTGGCAGCGATCACCAGTAAATTCATTTGGGCACCTGAGAGGAAAAACAAAACAATGGTAGAGAAAAACAGAGAAAAGAGAAGAGGTGAACATATGCTAAGAAAGAAGCTCCTTCAGCGTGGACTGATTTGACTTGGTGAGTTCACCTTCAGAAACTGAATCTCAGTTTAGCATTTCCAAATGACTCAAGATGTTTGAGAGCCACCCATTTGCTTTGTGGAAGCCAAAACCAATCCAGATCAAAGTGTGTTTCAGCATGTCATAGACGAATCTGCCATTTCAAATCCCGAAATGACTTTTATAATGTGCTTTTCTCAAGGCGGCTAGAAGATGGAATCTGTACATCATTCATTTCAGTTGGCTTATTCCTACACAGTAACACTTTACAGCATTTTCCCAATCAAGAAAGCTGATAGTGTAAAACAAAATCTGTGATGGATGAGAAGGTTCTGCTTTAAAAAGCCACACAAATGAGACATGTTCTGATGCCAGAGAATGCCATGGTGTACAGATTAAAGCTTAGAGAGTCAAACTGTAATCACAATCAAGACAGGCCAGTTCCAGCTGAACTGTGAAAACACCAAGTAGTAGTGATTTTGTTGCTGTAGTTGGGGGAGAAAGCAAAGTTCAGATTATTTTAACATACTTTCTTGGTTTTGGATTTTCATGGGCAGAGTTTCAGTACATCTTGCTCCGGTGAATCCCGGTTGGCACCTGAAGGGCAAAAACTTGATAAGCAATCGAACACCAAAACCACTGAACTAGCAGACTGATATTTGCCTTCCTATGGAACATGGAGATCCTCTAAACGACCTCAGGAGAGGGCTGGAATTAGTGAAAGAGTGTAATAAAAGAAAAAATGTATCCTTTGAAAAATTATATTTTTATAATATTGAAAAAAAATTGAAAAAAATCCACGATTATTTTTAAATAAGAGAGTCAAATCTAAGAGAAATGCACTGGCAGCCCCCTTTCAGCTTATTGCTTTTTTCCTTATCAGGTTGCCACATCAAGTTATTTCTGCTTGCAATATTGCATTTAAAAATAATTTATGTCCCCTGCCTTGAGCAATCATGTACAGTGCCAAACCTATGGCTCTTCTCTGACCCCCTTCTTTCTTTAATGGTCTGCTTTACCTTCAAGTTCCTGCTTAAATAAGAACAAAAAAACAACTAACCCATCCACTCACCAAACCAAACAGCCCCCCAAACAGTCCCCCGAACAGCCTCTATTTTGTTCAAGACAAGGCAGCAGCCATGGGTAATGTATTGGAGAGAAAACCAGTAGGCCAGACAAACAAGGAGCATAGGTAAAAATAAGGTGAAAGTGCTCTTGAATTCATACAGAGTAAGAAAATTAGCAGTATTCATCTCTTCAGTCACTTTGTGCATATGTGGGCTCTGCAATCCAGAAAGGATGTGGAGAAGCTTGAGAGAGTCCAGAGGAGAGCCATGTGAATGATTAGAGGTCAAGAGAACAGGCCTTATGAGGAGAGGCTGAGGGGCCTGGGGGGACTTGGTGGCTGCCTACAAGTATATAAGGAGTGTGCACTGGGAACTGGGAGAATGAGTGTTCACCAGAGTACCCCATGGGAAGACAAGGTCCAAGAGTCACAAACTCTTGGAAGGCTGTTTTAGGCTGGACATAAGGAAAAACTTCTTTACTGTCTGAGTCCCAAGGGCCTGGAATAAGCTCCCACCAGAAGTGGTGCAGGCACCTACTCTGGATTCCTTTAAGAAACACCTGGATGCCCATCTTGCTGGGATTATTTGACCCTTGCAGACTGCCCACCCTTTGGGCAGGGGGCTGGACCTGATGATCTTGCGAGGTCCCTTCCAGCCCTAATGTCTATGCAATCTATGAAATCTTCCTTGGAAAAAAATCAGTATAGATTTCACTTTGGTTGTAATGAAGAAATGGCTCTTCTTGATGTCTGGGATCCTTTTATGCTGATGCCACTTGCTCCTTCTCTTCATTCCCTTAGACTTCAGTGCAGCACTTGGCAATAGATGGATATTCCTTCTTCTGGAAATGCTCCACAGCTATTCAGGCTTCTCCAGTTTCTTAGGACATGATTCTACTTATTTTTCTGCCCTAGACATCTTCTGTACAGTCTTACAGAATTCAGTTCTTGCTTGTTGATTTGTGTTACCTACTTAGCCACTCTTGGTATTCAGTGCCCTGTTAATTTAACTATCTTTAACCTTAGCACTAAATCAAGTTATTTTTACCTATTTAAATTCATTTTTATTAATGTCTATTAACTTCTTTTGGTTTGATCCTAAAACACTTCATAACGCTGCTCCAGCTGGTTTCTCAGATTCAGCCTCTGCCACCACAGCTTAGTTAACTGTTGGCCTCCCATTTGTATCTTCCTCAAATCTATCTACTCTTCTCAGCTGCAGCAGCAGGCAGCTGGAACAGTCCTCCTTCAACTCATCAGGGTTTAATTCTATTGAAAACTTACTTGTTTCT